CATGGCCCCATGGGAGCATGGCCCAGCCCCTATTCTATCTTCAAGTCTCTTAGTCATCAGAACTTATTGAGCTGTTCTAAATTAGGTTTTATTTAATTCAATTCATTCATAAAACTCTAAGGTTTCCTTATACCTTTTCTTCCTCCCTAACCCAAGAGGGTATTTGCACTGATAACTTTGTGTTACAAATCTCAAGTTATATTCATGTGTTAGATAGTCTTGATGTACCCAGAGAGAAGCTTGCATAGTTTGTAAAGGCAGTATAGATCTTACCATTATTTTATTTAGACCTCGTTTTCTCTGTTTTATATGCTGAAAGTAACGGACCATACAGGGTTTTCAAAAAGAAGTTTTCAAAATGGAATAATGAGAAAATGAACTTTTTTCCTGTTTGATTTTTCTTAGCCATCCGCTTTTGCAAGAAGATGTTTTATTTTTTTTTCTTTTATTACAAGTTCAAATTGGAGATGGTGATAATTCTATAACTCTGTTTGCACGCTGTACTCATATTGGTTGCACTGCAGTATATGGATAAGAGAGAATCCAGATATTTACATCTTAAGCATCTGGAACTGGCCACTTCTGAAAGCAGGATATTAATTAGATATGCTAGCACTATATATTTTTATAGAATTTCTTATGAGAGTGAAAAAATTCTCTCTCTTTTAAATAGAGAGCAGATAGGAGGTATTTCACAATGTAAAAATCAACCACAATAGTCTCCTGTTAACATCATAGTATTTTCACTGGCAAGTCAAGCAGTATTTAATACCCCTATTATACTTAGAATTTATCCACACAAAAATGTGGATTTTTAAAACATTATATCTTATTGTATTTGAAATCTTCTGTTTCTTTTGACTGTTTTTGTTGCTGACCACTGCTGTCTCATAGTGATTAACAAAATGCAGTTAAGACTCTAATGTAATATATGGCATTGTTCTTTCCTTTTGTAATTGATAATTGTAGAGCTGCATATTTCTTATTGATGCTTTTTAAGACATGAAGGAAATATTTACTCCTGCCAGATTAAATTATCTTTCAAAATGACTTCTCCCTCTGTTTTATTTAATCTTTTTGTACAACTTATTAAATTTGCATGTTTTTATATAAGATGAGAGAAGTAGAGTTGATTTATCCCTTGGCTACTGCTGTTTCTTTGGAAATTGATGTTTCTGTAGTTGTGTTACCCTGTATATACCAATTCAATACAGTATTCCTCTGGAAGAAAAATAGTTAGAATTGCAACTATCAGTTATATAAGGGGAAAGTCTTTAGAATGAATTTCTTAATAACACAAACAGCCTAGAATTTCTAGGCTAAGTTTGCACATTAAAAAAAAAAGTTTTCTGAACTCTTTAATTTGCCCATGTAACTAAGGAATTTGGGAGTAAAAAGACTGAGTGTATGGTTTAATTACCTTCAAAACTCACGTACAGGCAGTCCTTGGACTTACGACATGATTGGTTCCTGACAACCGCGTCTTAAGTCAAAATGTAACTCGGTGCCAATTTTCCTATAGGAAACAATGTTATAAATGGGGGATTGGTTTCTGAACCAAGGTCTGATACCCTATTTTCACCAAAAATAACCCAGAATGTTGTACTCAATCAATTATAGATGAGTAACATAACTACATTAATTTATTTATATTGTAAATAGCAATCATACTGATTTGGAAGGACTTCTTTGAGGTAATTTTACTGGACTTTTTGAAGGGTTCTTGGGTGAAGTCTGTGCAGGAGTCTTGGCTGCAGGTTCTTCTGGAGTCTTGTCTGCTTTCTCTTAAAGAAAGTGTCCAAGGAAGTTTAGACGGATGTTCTCCAGGGAGATGGGTGACACAGCGAACTTGTTCGCTGGCGTGACATCATGTCGGATCAAGCATTGTAAAATCGAAACTGACGTCAGACAGTTGAAACAGGGTATCAACTTACAAACGTTGTAAGTGCGAACTGTTGTAACTTGAAACATTATAAATCAAGGACTGCCTGTAATCCAGTTAGATTTTATATCACGTTTCTGAGTCACCATTGGGATAAAGATGCAAATTGTTTTGAAAATTTTTTCCTGTGTTTTTATGATGTAGGGGATGTTTTATTCAACTTAAATGTAAACTTAACTGTATATTTCCACACTTTAGATTTTTTAAGTTTAATTTTAAGTTGGAATTTGCAGAATTCTTTTACTTTTGAGAACTAAGGTGTTTTTATTTTTGCCCTTCTTCAGTAATTGGTAAATATATGTCTCCTGATATTTCAGTTACGTTTGACCTAGAAATTGCGTTTTTTTTTTTTAAAGGCTTATTCAGAAGAGAGAAAATTGCAAACGGTACTGATACTCTAGAACAGTGGTTCTCAGCCTTTTTGCTACCTGGACCCATTTGCAAAGGTCCATGTCCTGTCCTGACTCACACCCCACTGACCCTGCCAGTTGATGACTCCCTTCCCCTCCCCCCAGGCCATGCTGGTTTGGTGTCCCTCACTCATGACCCACAGCCCTTGCCCCCCCCCCCA